ACTACTTCGAATTTGTTCTTTGAATTTTGTGTTTATGCTCGTTTCTAGGTTTTCGCTCTTCATTGTTTGCTTCGTGTGTTAGGAATCAATACGTGCTTATCTAGTAAAAGTCTCTACTTTGTTTAAAGCATGATGATTTAGTGTAGATAGTTCGTGTTCGGTCCTAGAATCGCTATGCTTGCATGTATTCTCTTTGTTTATTTTTATTTTTCTGAGTTATGGATACTCCGTGCTACCAAAGTTTCGATCTTTCTTTCCATTCTTGCATCTTTCATCATTTGCTCTTAGCTTTATAGTTTAATTTCATGCAGTCCAATCCCTTCAAGCGAGTAGAATGTTTAGGACCTTGTTTTTTGTTATGTGACTTTAATGACTAGGTAACGAACGAAGCTCCGAACAGTCTTTCTTTGAGAACGACCTGAGTCGGGCAGCTCGGTTACCATATGCCAAAAAATACTACAAACAGGAACCGAAAAAGAACCGTAACCGACAATAACCGGTTTTAAATTAAGAACCGATCAAAAAATTGTAACTCATGAACGAAAAAGTATCATAAAAACCGAGAACTAAATTGCAAAAATGAGGAACCGAGTACTACATACCAAGAACCGGAACCGAGTCATATATATAAACATATAATACATGCATATTTCATATATATATCTGATTCCTCGGTCATACATTTGGAAAGAACCGGGAACCGGAATCGGTTTTTGCAAAAATTAAGCGGAACCGAAAAAAAAGTTTTTTTTTTTTTTTTTTTTGAATAACCAGACCGAACCGGTTATTTTCGGTTCGGTTCGATCCGGTTCGGTTCTTCGGTTCTCGGGTATAAAATCTCACCCCTAATTATAATCACGTATTTATAAGCAAATATAATTATCAACCCAATGGACCTTACATTTCATCAAAAACAAACTTTTAGTTGACCTAATCATATTGACAAGAGTCAACGGTACCCAAGCCCAAGTAGAAGTAGCCACCTCTAACCAAGGAAATCATATTCTCTATTACGGTCGTTAATTTTGTGTTAATTGTCTTTATTTGGTGAGTAAAATCTGGTGATAATTAATAGCCACGTTGATGAAATAATTTTAACACAATTTAAATATTTTGATGTTGACACTTTTAAAATCCAAATTATTAGGTTTGAAAGAGGCCGATGTGAAGTAAGATATTTGGACTTTTCTGAAATTTTTTGTTTCATTTAGGTCACAAGTAAAAATATAAAAATTATTTTGGATGAAAATTGTAGATAATTAATGTAGAAAGTTAATATATGGTAACTTTATGGGCACACTGTCATTGTAATTGGTTGACATTAGACACTTTATAACGAACTGATTAATTAATTTAAAATTTACTCTATTCTATTTATTTTTTTATTTTTTTTATTTTTTTGCTTCTTTAACCCTGAATAATGATATATTAATTATATTAATAAATTCAACGGAAATAACTTCTTTTTTTATTTCCATAATGACCAATAAAAATTCCGAACTCTACTCTTATATACCAAATTCTTATATAATGATATTTTTACAAAAAAAATATTTTTTATTTCCAAATTTAGATAATTAATTTAATAAATAATAAATATATTAGTATATTTAAATTTAAACTAATTTAAATTCATTCTACTATAACATGTTTTATCTTATTTGAATATAATTATTTTATTTTCGTTTAACTTTATATAATATAATTTATTACAATGTAATTTAATACATTATCTTTTAAATTTAATTTGATATATTCATACGCAACTCTATATATATAAAACGTTATTAGATTTATCAATTAACTAGGACTGGTGTGGTTGAGACACTACTACCATATAACACCTTCATGTCTTAGGTTTGAATCTCATGGCTAGCATAATTTTTTTTATTTTTATTTTTTTTTTTAGTTGACACATCAACGCCATGTCACCACAAAAAATTCGAATTGGGTCTTGTGATTCGAATTGCAAAAAATAGTGAAAGTCATATATTAAATTGCTAAATTACAAAATTAGTGATTAAATTGCAAAAACATGAAAGGTAATATATTAATATGTAATTTTGCTTAATTAAAATAATGGATAAAATAATTTACCATTTATGAAACCATAAAATCAGAGGTAGAAAGTTTGCTGCACCAACTTCTGCTCCAACCAATTAAATGTCTCTATTGGGTTAGGTCAAAATTACATATGACCATAATCATATATGTCGCTACGTATATGGACGCCTGAGGGAGACCGTATGGACCGTGGAAATATACGTAAATGCATTAATTTCACTATTCATCAATTACGAATGATACTCTACTACACATGTTAATACGTCCGTCGCTTATGTGGCATGTACACATTACTGATGTTAATATGTTAAAATAAATACATCATCAATGTGTATATGTCACATAAACGATAGGCATATTAACATGTACCTACCGTGAGTAAGAGAACATTAACGAATCAATTACAGCATCAGCATCAGCATCAGCTTAGTCATGTATAACAAGTTAACAACTTTTACGGAATCAAGATGATATATAGTAAAAGAAAATAAAAACTCTTAGGCTTCAAGATTAATTAATTAATTTTCAAATGTGAACTGGATTGGGTTAATGGTTAAAAATATTTAGTTGATGTTTTGAATTAGCAATTTATTCGTATTAGAATATTCACTTGTGAGTTGTCTCATATCGTTTATACATGAAAAATAAACTTAACTTTTATAAGTCTAATGTGCTACTCCTCATTCCACCATTTGGTTTTGGGTGAAATTTCACTTGGGTTTTATATGGGCTTTTTCTGTGTTGGTGCGCTTCATCTGCGTGGGACCACACCCGTTTTTATTCCCGTTTCTTACACGTCTTATGAAAAAAAGTATGAAATAATTTTTTAATTACAAACGGAGGACGATAAATGTAAGATTACTTCTATAAAATTTTAGGCTTGGCCGAATTTTAATCTGGATTCTTTAATACTTCTAAGTAATTTTGACAAAATAATTTTTTTAAACTCAAAATTAACTCTCATTCATTTTCAATATTATCAATATAATTAAATAATATAAATTAATCTTCCTCACACATCACATCAACTTTAATTTAATATTTATCCACTCACATTGTAAAAAAAAAAAATATTCATCCACTCACATTATTTTATTTATGAATTATTTTGAATCACATCTCTAATAAATCAAATAATTTTAATTATTATATTTTAAATATTATAAAATGTAAACTCAAAAATCCCTTTCAAAACAAACACGTCAACTTTTCGTCTGATTCAAAATTAAATCAATTTTTTTTTTAAAAAAAAAAAACAAAAAATTAGCTCTGATCATCCAACAAATTCAAAATAACTTATATATAATCACCCTTAATGGATCAAGTTCCTTGTCTCGTCCTTACTCCAACTTAGAGCAACCGCAATGCTGCTCTAGAAAGGTCACGCTACTCTATTGTGGCGCAAATTCACACTCCAGCGCTGCTCCACATATTTACGCTACTTAACGTATAGCTACAGTGCTGCACCAGACATTATTTGTTTTTGTTTAATGTATTTTAATGTAATATAACATAATTTTTTGTATAATATTTATTAATAAATATACTTATTTACTAAATAACTTTGTGTAATGTATTCTTTTATGCTAAATAATTTGAAATTGAGAAACTATTGTACCATAATTTAATTGTATATATTCATACAGTTACTGAAACTAATAACTTTTTAGGAGAAAGTTGCAAACTTAGTCCTCAAAATTAGTCATATTGCAAAATTGGTCCCAAATTGCACATTTAGCCCACTTATAAACCGGATTTGAATTACAATGAGACCAAAATTTGGGAAAAAAAAAATTGCAACCTTTGGAATTAAATTTGATAACTTTCTTAAGACAACTAATCTTGTTGACTAAATTTTCATTTTTTTTTTATTTTATTTTTTAAATTTTTCTAAAGACACCATATATATGTGTGTGACTTGTGAGAGAGGCCATGCAAAAATATGCAATGAATGACGATAGAGTGCCCTCTAATTGCGTGCATGGAGAGTGTTCCTCTCACTGACTATACGACACCCGCCACCTGTTCAAAACCATGACTTTTTCTTACTTACTTTCAAAATATCAATATTTGTTTTTTTTTTTCTCTCTATTTTTCAATATATAATATTTGAATATTAAACTTTTACAGGACACGAATTCCCTGAAATGCCCTTGTTTATTTTATATATCCATCAACTTTGAGGGTGGTCATGTTTATTTACTTATGTGGATCGACTAGGACAAATACCCAATTATTCTGAAAATCGAGGTGCAAAAATAACAGTTGATCGTTAACTTATTTTTGCAAATCGATATGAAAAGAAAGAATAATCAGTCAAATTATGAAAAATTTCATAAATATTTGTACTGATCAAAACTGATTCAAACCATTGTTCTATATCGTATCGAAACGAAAAACCGAAACTGACAAACTAAAACAAAAATGACCGAATGTGCCTGACTGCTAGGGCCATATATAAGAGTCGCGTGACATTAGTGGATTTTTTCGGAACTTCGAAATAGTATGTACAAAATAAATATTCAAATAAAAATGATACCAAATCTCACAGTTTTACTATGGAGCTATCGGATGGCTCAGCTTATGGAGTCATCCACAATTATCCGCAAATGGTGTATTGGCACGTGTCCTACAATAAATACACTTTGGACCGTGTCAACATATCAAGTTATGGATGGCTCCATAGACTATCTGCCAAATCTCATCTCAAATTAAACCCATGAATTTGGTGATCACAAAACTAAGGAGGAGGGTCGTTTTAGTAATTTGAAGTTGGAGAATTATGGGGCCCCAAACCTAAGCCAACCCCACATGATGAAAATGAAGCATATACAACAAGTAGAGAGGACAAAGGGGTGTGTGTGTGTGTGTTATTTATAGACAAAGATCAGAGAAAGAGAAAGAAAACAAGTGAAGTGATTAAAAAAAAAATAAAAATGGGAAGATCTCCATTAAGCAGTATTAGTAGTGATGAGGGTGGGTTGAAGAAAGGGCCATGGACCCCTGAAGAAGATGAATTACTTGTCAATTATATCCAAAAACATGGCCATGGCAGCTGGAGAGCTCTCCCTAGACTTGCTGGTATATATCTATATATATTATTCTTAAAAACTTTTTATATCACTTTATAATATTTATTTTTTTCTTTATTTAAAATTCGAACAAATATTAATTTTCTGTATGTATATATATATATATGTAAATTTGAATTGTTAATGTTGTGTTGTAGGGTTGAATAGATGTGGAAAGAGTTGCAGGCTCCGATGGACGAACTACTTGAGACCGGATATTAAGAGAGGAAAGTTCTCTCAAGAAGAAGAGCAAACCATCCTCAATCTTCATGCCATTCTTGGCAACAAGTAATGCATGCTACCTCCACACAATTAATACATCTTCTTCAAAAAAAAATTATTTTATTTATGCATGTATTATGATTTATATCGACATCGTGCATTTTTTATCACGACACACACGCAAAAAAAAAAAAA